TAAGCAAACGTGTAGAAAAATTGTATTCATTTACTATATTTATTAGCTTAATGTGTTGGCATGATAATCTTTAGCCTTTTATAGCTCTCTCGTCGGCCTAAATTTCAGAATGCCGCCTACAAAGCATGGGGCGCATGCACAATTTTTCTAAAATATATTGTTTTGGTGTTTTAATGGCTATCAAATTAACTTTCTAACTTGAGTCACCTCTTGTTTAACTTTGCTAGTATAAAAATTTGATTTACGAAATTTCTTTGTAGATATTCAACTGTTTCATTTAGAATTTTCTCCCTTTATATATACAAGGATGAACGAGTCTCCGTTCTCCTGGCCCGTGTTCAATCACTTGGCATGACCGAACTAATGGAGTCTCAATTGTTGCATCTTGCTCCTCTCCTTACCAACATTTGCCTGGCAAATTTACAAAAACTTGCTATAGCCAACAAGTCATCTACTGTCACAATCACAGCTATCTCCAGCCTGAATAATGGTTCACTGTCCCCCTATGTACTTTCCCCCGTTATTGATGGTTGCCACTGGCGCCGCACTTGCAACACAGACAATTCCGGACCTGCTGGATCGGATATGTGCATTGGGCCTGCTGATCTGCCTCTAGGACGAGCATCTGAGGCGTTTGCGCCTGGCGAACGTCCCGTAACATCTACTCTAAACTTGATCACAAAGACCACTTCTGGTGCTTTGGGTGGAGCTGCTGCGCACAGCCCGGCTCAGCTCGCCCGAATTCGAGTGATTCATCTTCCTCGGAACGAGGCGGTTAGCCTAGCATTAAGTACATTTATCCTCAACCCGAGCTGTAATGAAGAAGCGTTCTGTAATGGCGGGTCAGAGCTTTGCTCTTCTGGTGACGTTGAAATGCCCGCCAAAATTCCTCTGCTAGGTGGACCGGATGGAGGCCTTAAACGCGACACAAAATTGGGTGTGTTGGTTTTTAAAATGAGCTTTTATACTTAACTGTATTCTATCGTATCAAAATTTTTAGTAAAATTAGGCTATTCGATGTCGTTTAGGTTCGTTGGCTCAGTTTCTTAGCAAGCCAAACATGTTTTCAGTACAAATTTTGGCATTAAATTATATATTTTCATATGAGATGTATTCATTCTATTTTGTTTAAGGTGATTATCGATTAGTATTTTAATTTTCCCACACCAATATGAGTAGAACTGACGCTTCCATTGAATTTCACACAGCATTACTTTCACAAAAGGTTTTCTTATCCCAGCTGGAATGGACTGAAGTTTCGACCTCACCTAGGCCTTATCAACACCAGCGGAATTCGATCTGTGACAGCACAGCGTGTAATCTCGACACGTTAACAACTACGTCACACTATCACGAGTACCCTTGAGCCAAAGGGCAGATATGAATTTCAAACAAGGCCAGGCATTTTCAAATATCATATTCTGCGGTCGGATTGTTGATAAAGCAAACGTATATTTGCTATAACAATCGACTACGTTACTTATTTTTCGTATTTGAGT